CTCCTGCCCTGCCCCCCCAGGGAGATGGGGAGCAGAATCAGTAAAAGGTAGTAAAACTTGTGGATTGAGATAAGGGTTTAGTAACTAAAATAAAATATAACAAAATGTAATAATAATTATAATGAAAAGGAATATAATTTTAAAAAGAAATAAAACACAAGAAAGGCAAGTGATGCACAGTGTAATTGCTTACCACCTGTTGACTGATGACTGAGCAACAATCTGCCCCCTAGCCAGCTCCTCCCACTTTATATACTGAGCATGATGTTCTGTGGTATGGAATATGCCTTTGGCTGCTTTGGGTCAGGTGTCCTGGCCGTGCTCCCTCCCAGCTTCTTGTGCAAGTGCTTGCTCACAGAGCATGGGAAACTAAAAAATCCTTAACTTGGGATAAGTGCTATTTAACAACAGCTAAAACTTCAGTGTGTTCATACTCATACTAATTCTCATACTAAATCCAAAAACAGCACTGTACCAGCTATTAGGGAGAGAATTATCCCAGCCAAAATCAGGACAAAAGGCAATTGCTCACCACCCCCCACTGGCAGATCAATACCTGGCCAGTCTCTGAGCAACTTCTAATTTAGAAAGACTGCTCCTCAGTTTTATTGCTGAGCGTGATGTTATATGGGATGGAATATCCCCCTGGTCCATTTGGGTCAGCTGTCCTGACTGTGTGCTCTCCCAGCATCTTGCCCACCCCAGCCTGCTTGCTGTGGGGGCAGTGAGAAACAGGCGGCCTTGATGCTGTGCAAGCATTGTTTTGAGAATAGCTAAAACAGTGGTTTGTGGTCAGCAGTGTTCTAGTCTCAAGTCTGAAACACAGCATCATGCAGGCTGCTATGGAGAAAACCACACTCCATCCCAGCCAGGCCCAGTACAAATAAAGTCTTGGGAAAATCACTAAAGAGCTGATTTATATTTGTTCATTGTTTTTCTGAGGAGAGATTTGCAGAGTCTGGAGAACTGTATTCAGAATGCTGTTTCTGAATGACTGTTCCTGTCATTGCCAGCAGAGAGCTCCAAAGGCTAAATTTTAGCTGCAAAGTGTTTCTTGGTCTTTTAAGGTAGTGTGTTATTCTTCAAAACAAGAGTGGAGTTGTTTGTGTCTGCAGTATTTTTTAAATTCTCAAAGTCGTTTGTCTTGGATTTATTTGCCAAATAACTTCCACAAGAAACCCGTCAATGGAACATCAGCATCTTTCAGAGCTTTACAGAACTCTTTCTGTTAACAGTCTTTCCATCTTATACAGTACTTAGTGTTTGTAGGCATTAGGGAGCATGAGATTCTTTACTGTAATATGGGTGGATATTGAATGAAACAAAATTTACCTACATCTGTTAATCACTGCTTAAATTGATAGCCATGCCGCGAAATACTTCTTACTGCTAAGCACAGAAAACAATGTAAATTTTTCACATGCTCTGTATTTTACAGGTCTGTTGAAGTCCTGTGCTTGCTTTCTGTGTTTGATTCAAAAACTAACCACAAATTTAACAAGTTTAAATCATGTTATCTAGTTCTTGCATCCCTTCTCGCTAAACTGTCTTTGAAATACTCCATTAACTTTAACAACACCAAGTTGTAATGATACCAATTAATCTCTTACAGGTGTATTTCTACACATTGTTGCAGACACGCTTGGAAGTATTGGTGTAATCATATCTGCTATACTGATGCAGAACTATGGTCTAATGATAGCAGATCCTATTTGTTCAATGCTGATAGCGCTGCTTATAGGTGTAAGGTAGGTGTTGCTATCACTGATAAGTAAAATTTTGGTGCTAGTTACAGTGCAGATTACAGCTCAGAAGAAAAGGTTTGTCTGTTAATGCTAATGACTTATGACATTTGCTTTTTTCCCAGGAGTGATATATTACCTCTATTATGTACAGCTGTTCTGGGTGCGCTCTTTTATCAACTGTCTTTCTTTCCTTCTGTACAGCTACAGCTTTTGCTCTTAAATCTGCATATTTTACCCCTGTTTGCATAACACTACAGAAATGTCTTTCAGATTCAAACTGTAGAAAGCTTCCTCTCTGTATTTAGTACATGCTTATATAAACCAGTGTGCTCCAGTAAATAGAGCAGAATGGCTTGAGGGCAGCAGAGTTGAGCCTGCTGGCACAGGATGTGCCCTTGTCCTTGACAAATCAAGGCTGGTAATTTTTATTTATTTTTTTCCTCAGTGAGAACTGTCATTTCCTTTGTATTTGTATTTTGAGATGTCCTTATTCCTTTTAAGATCTGATGGAAATCCTTCAGGTAGTTCTGGGCTTTCCCAGTTACTGTGTACCAAGATCACTGTAAATGTGATACTCTTTGGAGTAGGCTGGACAAGCAAACTTTTTATTCAGTGGTGCTGTTATTGAGGCTTTTTTGGCAGCAGTTTCAGTGGCGACATAGGGCAGAGTGCCACAACTCCAGTTACAATGTAATAACTGAACACCTTTATCTTTTCAGCAGCGAATGTCATCTGATTAACTGCAGCTACTTACGCTTATACTATATATGGCATGTTTGTACCATATGCATGGCAACATTCACAGAATTATTGATGTGAATCTCCCTATTTACCGGAGTAGGGCAATGTGCTTCAGGAGCTAAATGCCCACAGAAATCTGCTGGAGATCACCATTAAATTACCAGTTGAATATAAATGTAGTGTTTTGATTTAAACCTCTGATAATTTAATAAAGGACAAATTATGACAAACTAAGCCCATTACTGAAATCTTAAAAAATGGGAAAGAAAATGTGCAGGTCACCAAGGGGGAAGAAACTACTGCTGAGGTAATAGCTAAGTAAAACACAGGTTTTCATGTATTTTGTGTACAGCAAAGCACAGGTGGAGTGCTGATCAGAGAATACCATGTGTGTGAAATATTTTTTTTTCTTCCATTCGTATAGAGATTGGAAGAAGACTACCTTCCATGACAGAGGCATCATAATAAAGCTGTTTATAGGTCTTCTAGCACAATTAGGAGGAATGTCTGATGTCTTTACTCTGTGCTGAAAATGCTGGAATATTCACTGTTTGATGTGTTTTTTGACCTAATACCAGACCTCAGCCTGTAATGTTATTCTGTTGGTCCAATATGCTATAAATGATCTCTAGAATAACTATGCTGAGTGCAGTCAGCTACATCATAATCAGTAGAAGGAAGCTTACATTTTGTGCAGACTGACACATCCTGGCACGGCAGTGGAGAGGGGGGTTTTTTTTTTTTTTTTTTTTTTTTTTTTTAAGCAGTCCAACAGACTTAACTGCCAATGGCTTTGCTTGAAATGCACTTAAACAAGATCATAAACAAGATGACTGACTGTTTCAGATGGATATTCTTTGAGAGCTTGAGTCCCTTTTTGTGTTGTTTGACCTCAGTTAACTTCATTTACACTTCTGGACATAAAACCATTGTTTGTTCTGCCTTATTCTTGACTATGCTATTTGTGTGATGTGCTCTTCTAGAATTATTGCAAAAGGTTTATCAGATTTTCCTATAAGATGATCTTTTGTAACAGTAATATGAGGGTCCAGCTGATGATTACTAGGATATAGTAGTTTTGTCCATAATCTTTTCAAGTCACCTAAATCTAACCTAGAGAAAAGATTATACTGAAATTTTGTGAAATTCTAAACTTGAAGAGGAAGAGCATTGGCTGCAAAAAGTTTAAGCTGATAGTGGCAACAGGTGTGGTTTGTTTTGGTTTTTTTTTTGGTCTGTTTGCTGATAGGGCATGTGTGGGTTTGAGGTTGGGAGAAGGGGGATGTTCAATATCTAGTATGGGGATTCCTGCCCACTTCTGTGAGTCTATTTGCAACCTTGATAAATAACCTTTGGGGGGGATTTGGCTTTAGATTAAATAATTGTCTTTCAGAAGAATATTGTCAATTTTACTTTTGCGGACTAGCCCACTTGGGTCCCTTTTACTAGTTGAATCAACTTTGATAAGGTGAAGTGGAAAAAGAGTACATGTGTGCTCTGACAAGTGGACCCATGCATGTGTGTTTAAAAATCAGGATCTGTTCTTTATAGCTGTAATAAAGCAAGCATAGTTTTGAATCAGAGATGCAAAAGCCAATCTGGTAAAGTTGTCCAAAAGTTTTAATGCTGTCTGGGGACTTTCCACTACTTGGGACTGTAAAGCTTTGCTTTTTTCAAATGGAGTTGTATAAAAACCCCAAGGTGCTGTCTCTTCTAACAAGAGTACTTCAGCTGATTGGTTTAAATCTAAATAGTAGTGTATTTTATTGCTGGTATTCCAAAGCTCTTTTTCATTACTCCACATTTTAAGTGTATGAAATCGTCCATTTCCATTTTAATTAGCTGCTTCAACCTCTGGTTCTACATCAAATATATTAGTTACCAACTGATGAACTAGAGGGGTCAGTAGTCTCCTTACTGCTGTTACTGGTTAACCAACAGCTCTTGGTGAAAGCAAAACCTTGAGCATGATCTTCTAGATCTTTGAGTACTCTGAAGCTTTGAAATAAAGCAGTTGAAACATCAGAACCTGTATGGAAATGCTTTTGCTCTTGGCTGTCAAGCTGTTATTTGGGAGGGAGACTTCTTTCGTAGGACAATGTCTTTCTATGTGTGTATATCTTTGAACTTTTGTTGTGTTGGCCTTCTGCCACTTGTTCTCAAATGCCAAACTACTATATTAGATTAAGACTTGCCTATGGTACAGGTGCTTTTCTGTCATCAGGAAAGTATCTTAGGAAACAGCTGTGAATACTGCAGGTGGCTACATGACTGTAAATTTTAAGTCATGATGGGAGAGGGGTCCAGACTTGAATCTTTTCTTGTAATTTTTAGATAATGAGGATACACTATTCTGCATGTTGCAGTCTTGAAACTCTGCTGGTTGTATATGAAAATGAAGTATACATTGAGCAAATTATTTTCATAAAGTTGAAAATTCCCAATAAAATACAAACTGGTAAATGAATTTTTACTCATGTTGGTTGGTGGCTTTCTCCTCTAAGGGAAGGATCCTCAGACCAGTCTAGATTACAATATTTCTTTAGATATGTGTTTGGTCTAAGTAGTTCATAAATTTTCCTGCTGGAATAAGCTTGCATAGAGATGAATTAGGACAGAACTGTAGATGTAAATTTGAGGCAGGAGTCTTCTACAGGATAAACAGCATTCTAGTAATGGTATAAGCAGCTACATTGAAAGAAGTCTTTGGATTCCAAACTTTAAAATGTAGTTTTCTTAATCAGCTGAACAATCTGGGACACTGTCACTATTGAGATTTGGGAAAGATTATATTCATTCTTGTACTATGATGGGTATTATTGGATGTATTCAGAAATATGTATGTTTGAATTATTTTCAACAAAACCAGGTTTATTTTCTCATGCTGAACTTTAGGTATATGTATTTAAAAGAGGAATTGAGGAATTTTTAGAGTAATAAGTGGAGGAAGAGCAAAGATAATGGTGTGACAGTAGTTATGTATGTGGGTTTGAGACTAGTGAGAATACATTCTGTCTTAAGAAATTACATTGGCATGTTTTTTGGACTGATGAGATATTATCATAGGAAGATCTTAATAATGCATTAATGTGGTGCCATTGTATAACCAACTCACAGCTTTTATATCACTTTTATATTCTGTAAAGATACTATGATGCAAGTAGTAAGTAATCTAGAAAAGTAATTAGATTAAAATGGAAGAATAACATGTTAAATTTGGTATCCATTACTGGATGTGGGATAGGGTTTATGAAATCACATGGTATTTTGCTCTTTATTGAAATAAGCAAATTAGTAGTATTGTAAACTAATAAAACTATCGCAAAGAACTTCCAGGTTCTCAACTCTAGCTGCTTCATTATCTGAGTATGTATTGAAATTTTCTTGAAAATAATGATCTGACTGAATTTTGGCTCAAATTTTATAAAAATACTTTGCAATTCAATTTCACGATTTTCATGAAACTGATGATTAAACATAGTTTAATTTTTAGTTTGCACATTTTTAGTTGTTTGAGGGTTTAATGAAGTTTATTTTTTTGCTTTTTTTTCTGAATAGAATGTGCATATACCGTTTAACCTGGTAGTGATTTGGCTTCAATCACATATCCTCCGGGTTAATAGTCTGAGTTTGACTTAAAGTGTGCAGGGCATGGGTAGGGGATAGGTTTGATCCAGGGGGTGTTTTTTTCTTTCTTTTTTTTTTTTTTTTTTAAATCTATATTCTTTCTGGGATACTTATGTATCCAAAGAGGGAATAAAGCCAGAACACAAATCTTTATTCCCTTCCGTGGAGTTATGTCATCAGTAGACTATCAGAGCAGTTGCATGCGAGTGCAGAGGAGAATCGTTGCTCTTCATCCAAGATTGCTTTTATCTAGATGATGTTGGGTGTTTGCTTGCTGCAAGTGTTGGGCAGCTCTCTGATTTACTCAGGTCTTGCCTGCTCCTGTTAGTGAGTCTTCTCTGTCAGTTTTCTGAAATGATGGCAACACTTGCCAAAAGAAATCACAAAAATATCTGTATAGGATGACTAAAGAACTTATCATTGCAATATAAAGCTGTACAGCCTCTAATTTGTAACTTATTTTGTCTTGTGCAGATATATGAAGGGTTGAGCAATGCCTCTTCAGAGAAGCCAAGCAGTGCTTTTAATTCAAATGGCTGAGCCTTCCTGTAGGCAATATCTCTAATTAGTGCAAATTGTCAGCTACTCACATGGTTGCTCTGTGTTGCTTCTGTGATCCTTCACTAAGGCTGCTC